ATTATTTCTTACTATTTAAATAATTAGTACGTTGGTCTATCTTTAACCAAAAAATAAATAAAATAAAAAAAGAGACGAACATAATAAGAAAAACAATGAAATTTGAAAAAGAGTAACGAAGCACAAATGCTAGGAAATGAAATTTCAAGGTGTTCCTTTCCAAGTTATCTTCGTGTGTTTGTGAAAATATTCCAACAACAATCTAGAGGGGTCCACACATTCCAAACATACATATTTAATTTAAAATACAGTGTACATGAATGGACAAGAGTACAAGCACATGTGGTTCACACAATTCTTCCTATCTTTTGCTTTTTGTGCAAGATATATACACACAAGATATAGATATGAAAAAAAAAAGAATAGAAAAAGAGAAAGTGGGGAACAACACTTTGAGAGATAAGGAGAATTTTCGTGGAAAAGGAGGGGACCAAAATATTTTGAGTTTTTCTTATTTGATTTGGGTTTAAAATATGGAGAAGATAAGTTGTAGTAGAAATTGCACTAATTAAATGCCCATTTAAGGGGGCTGAAAATGACAGAAGGAGGACATTCGGAGAGAAGGATCCTCCCCCATTTTTTGAGAGACGCGGCGCTGTTCCCTACCTTCTTTACAAGAGAACGAAACTCCCTCCTCTCAACACCTCCGGTCACTTCAACAGCCTCGCTCCCATCATCGGCGAACTCACCGGAAACACGAGGACAGTGGCGCCTCGTCTCTTCACATCTCCGCCAGCCACATCTCTGACTCTCACACCCATCTCTCACTCTCACCTGAAACACACGCACTTAAGAGCCTACATAAACGGGATTGGAATTTAAAAAGTCCAAATCTCTAATTTGAAGAACAAAAATAATCAAAAAAAGGAGTTCGAAATTGCTCAAGTTGGTTACTACTGATTTTCGAATTGCTTTTCTCGGAATTTCTGGATGTCTGTTGTGTAAAAGTGACGAGAATTTTGCCCTGCTCGCTGCTGTTCAATTTTGAAGTTCTACTGTTTTCGTCCGCGTCTAGGTATGTTCTGAAATTTCAAATATTGAACTCATTTTATGTAAACATAATAAATTGGAATTCTGTTCCCTTTAATTTCGATTATGGATGCCATGAGTTTAGCTTGGTTGTAATCGCTGGTTCTTTGCTGTGGTTCAGTGTAGTTGTGTTCGTGTTCTTAACCTTGAGGTTCGGATCTCTGCGTTTTGTGTGTACCTGCATCAGATTGCTAAAACGCCGAAACATTGATATCTACTTTCAATTTTGTTATAATATGGACTGTGTAGGAAATTCACCTCTATCAACTGAGATGTTTTCATATGTGCCGAAACAGTGATTTTATTTGTTTTTAAATCATTTGCTTAGTCGAAATCTCCATGATCTGGTTTGAGCTCATGAATGGATTAACTGTGTGAAGCATATCTCATGTTCACTGATTTGGAGTTAACTTTCATAGCTTTCTATTTCATGGTATGGTGATGGTTCCTCACAGTGTCTCTTTATATTAAATGGGTAAAATGATTTGAAAGTAAGATTTATCACATGTTTTTTTTAAAAATATTAGCTATGTGATGATTTTGGGAAGGTCCCAGATGTGGTACGTTAGTGCTCAGAATATTTCTTTGAATTGAGTTATGGTTAAAGACTCTCTTTGTAGGTAAGTGTTTTGGTGAAATTAAAGTGAGAGGAAGGTTTTGTTAGCTATAATTAATTCCCCATGTCGTAATTAAATTGCTTCTAGTTGAAATGGAAACATCATCAATGATATGGGATTAAGGAAGCCTATTGGTTGTGCCAATTGCTTTACGCTCTAAATGTCATTCCCTTCTTTAGTATTTCACGCTGCATATATGTCTGATTTTAATGGAAATTTGTGATGATTTCATTTTTGGCTCTATGAGGTTTGAAAGTGAGGTGTTAAGCACTCGGTTCATCTTTTCTACCCCAAGCACGTATATAATTAGTAACTCTATGTTGAACTTCAAGATAGTTTTAAATATGAACATCCTTAGTTTGCTTTAATTGAGTACAAATCTTTTAAAATAAATCGAGGTGTGCCGTCAATTAACTTTCCATGGCCCACGTAATTTAGTTATTAATTTAAACAATCGTAGTTTGCTTTAGGCCCGATTTAGATTAGTATTGCGATTATATATACGTTCGCGTAATATAATTACAAATTTAATTCTTAAAAGATTCGAGGTATGCGTTCGCGCAACTTCAAACAAACTTTTGTTAATAAAAATAAACAAAGCGTTATTAATTATGGACACGTTTGCGTGACATGATTTTTAGCGCACTAAATAAAATGAGTATACGTACGCGTGACTCGCTTCAAGATGATTCTATAATTACAAATAGTCAAGTAAATAAAAGCGGTTAAGAGATAAATGCATAGGTTCTAAAATCATTAATTTTAATAAGCCAAGTATGATCAAAGCGATCGTGCTAGAACCACGGAACTCGGGAGTGCCTAACACCTTCTCCCGGGTTAACAGAATTCCTTACCCGGATTTCTGTGTTCCCAGACTGTAAACATAGTCAATCTTTTTCTCAATTCGGGATTTGAACCGGTGACTTGGGACACCATAAAATTATCCCAAGTGGCGACTCTGAATTTTAAATAATCCCGTTTCGATTGTCACTTCAATTGAAAAAACTCTCTTATGCCCTTCGAGTGTAGGAAAAAGGAGGTGTGACAGCTCTGGCGACTCTGCTGGGGACCGAACCCAGAATATCTGGTTCATGGTTCAAGAATTTGAGCTTAGAATAATTGTTATATTTGGCTTTATTTATTATCTGGTTTATTCACATGTTTGGGCTTAATGTGCTAAAGGTTGCTTTTTACCGCTTTGATATTATCTAAACTGTATATATAAACTGTTACGAAACCCTTCTTCTTTCTTAGTCTTCTGAATTTATGGTGTACACGTGCGCGTGACCCACCTTTCTGTTAGAAGTCATACCAAATAGAACGAAGTTGGGCCAAGTAACCAGGCCGGGTAGACTTTCGTGCTCCCGGTACGTTTCCCCCACTTCGGTTCAAGTTGTCCACTTGGGTAAGCCAGGTCTAGAACTGTATACCCCAGGTTTACACTTAGAATAACTCAGATTCATGCCGAATACCTAGTAGGAACGTTTGTTTGCATCATGTGCATTTGACTTCGGAGACTCAACACAGGGGT